AGTTAGAGAAAAGAACAATATATTAAGGCCAAGTGAAGAGACATGCCTGGGATGAAACCAAACATCCACCAGATGGGATGGATAAAATGCAAGTTTGTTGAAAATATTCATGAGGTTGGCAAATAGCGGGCAATGGAAAAAGGGAAGACACAAATCAACAAAACCGGCAATAAAAAAGGGACCTCACTACCAATACTACAGACATGGAAGTGACAATAAATGCTAATGAATTTGAAACCTAAGGTGAAATGTACAAATTCCTATAATATACAACTTAACAAAACTGACACAAGAAGAGATGGAAAACATGCACAGTCTCATAATCACTGACATCATTGAATCAGAATGAAAAATCTTCCCACAAAAAAACATACCAGGTAAAAATGGCTGTACCTTGAAGTTTCACCAAACATTCAAAAGGGGAGAAAATTCTAATCCTAAACAAGATATTCTAGAGAGGGCCCACTTCTTAACTCCTTCTATGAGGCTTAACATAAATTTGATACCCACACCTGATGAGGACCGTGTAAGAGGGGAAATTACGTTATGTATGTATCTCACACCCAGATATCGGCACCAAAATTTTACAGAAAATATTAGCAAGCAGATGTCAGCAGTGCTCAGGAAATAATACACAATGTGAAGGATTGGCTAAGGGTTGGGGACAGGCTGCAGACCACACAGGTGGCTAGAAAAATAATCTAAGATGATAAAGGCTTGAACTCAGCACGAGGGAGTGGGGCTGGGTAAAGGGGTGAGCAGTGTCCAGGCGGCCCTGATGGGTGAGTGGGGGCATGGGTGGGGTGACAATGCCTCGGGGGCCTGCTCGGAGGCCTGTGGAGACAGGGGGTCCCTCTGGGACAAGGGACAGACCAGGAGGAGCAGTGTCTGGGTGGACACCAAGTCCTGGGTAATAGGGTCTACTGCCCACTCCAAAGGGGAGGCAGAGGGGCCTGGGGAGGGATGGTGGTGGGTTCCTGGGCTGAGGACACTCCTGTCCAGGAGAAAGCCATGCTCAGTCAGGAGGTAGTGGAAGGAGGGTTGGGTGGTGGGGGTCCATTCCACCCACACCCTCAGAACGGGGGCCTGGAAACCCAGGACTTTCCTGAGCGCAGTTCTAAGCCATGAACATTTCCGGCAAAAACAGAGAAGAAAGAAATTCTCCTGGCCTACTGGGCTCCTCCTATCAGCAAGAGCAGCCGTGAGCTGAGCTTGCAGAATAAACTGGGCTCAACGTAAACACGCTGCAGGTCCCCAGGGGGTGGGGGTGGGGGGGCCGAGCTAAGAATACACACGAGGGCGGAAGGCTGGAGCAGCCCTTTTCCCCACTGAGTCCCAAGAGAACCAGGGGATGCCCGCCTCCCTAGCAGCCCAGCCAGGGCAGGGCAGGGGGCTAGGGCCTGGGGACTGAGGGCTCGGGGCTGGGGGCTGGCCAGGCCAGTGTGTTGCCAGGCCTCCTGTGCCAGGCCTGGTGAGGCAGCCACCAAGTGTCTGAATCTGTGCAGTCCCCCTGACTCCCACCCCCACAGACCTTACTGTTTGCCCCCCCAACCCCCACCTTGGCCCTCAGTGTTCAGGCCTGGCCTCTTTTTGAGTTGACCACGTGTGCTTATGGGACCCTGTCTGGCTTCCTCTGCCTCTCCCCAGCTCGTCTCCCCACCATCTGTGGCCCCACAGGGACCAGTTCGTCACCTGACTGGCTGTGTGATCTTAGGCATCCGTCCAACCTCTCTGGGCCTTGGTTTCTCCAACTTTCAAAAAGAATTTATTTGGGCAAATAAGAGTCCTTTCCAGAATAAAGAAGACAATGTGAAGGAATGTGCGGTAGTTCCGGCCACTTTTAAGAAGAAGCACGTGGAGTGGCTTATACCTTCTCCTTCACTGGGAAAGGGAGGCGGGTGGGAGCGGGTCTGAGGTGTGGGGAGTGGGCTCCTGAATGTCTGCAGGTGAAGCCCTGGAGGCACTGGCAGCACGGTGGGAATGCTCTCTGCTGTCCACACCCCGGGACCGAGGTGGATCTGAACAGCCAGGCCGGGCCTGGACAGGCGTGCAGAGTTCTCTGGGGACAGGTGGTGGGGGCCACGTTGGAGCAGGGCGTCCCACTGCCAAGCAAGAGTGGCCACCAGGCTGCAGGACTCCGGTGGGCAGGAAGTGTGAGCTTGTGGCCGCTGGCCTGGACATGAGCACAGGGGGCTCCTTGCAGGGAAATGGGACGCCCCTGGACAAGCTGAGCTGGCCTTCCCAATGATGACCCCAAGAAGTGGACAGCCCCGACCCCTGACCCTCAGAATGATCTGTTCCTAAGAGTAGGGGCATGTGGCTGTGCACCCCAAGAGGCCCTTGCCTGCGCCTCTCTGAGCCCCTTCTTGCCGCTGAGTGAGCCGGCCTGGGGTGGGACCCCTGTCACAGCTTCGGGCCTGACTGAGACGCAGAAGCAGGTGGGGACCAGGCTCCGCTCCTGCCCCAGGCCCACCCTGTAGGTGGGAGAAAGCCCAGCGGCTCTGGCTGGGGCTGGCGGGGGGCTGGCAGTGCCACCGTAGATCTGCCTGGTTCTGAGGCCCAGCGGCGGCTCCATTTCCTGTCCCGGCTTCCCCACAATCAGCAGATTGCGTGGGGGTTGTTTATGGCCCTGATGGCTGCAGTGATAACGTGGGGCTGAGACATAGCACTGTGCCCTCTGGGCCTGGCCAGGCACTTTCCCAGGGTCTGTCCCCGAGGAGGGCACCAGTCCATTGTGAGGCAGCAGCCAGTCAGGCTGAGCAGGACGCCAGCCCACGGTGGCCTCTGCCCAGGTCCAGCACATTCCCATCAGCGCCTGGGTGGACAGCAGGCACTGAGACCCACGTGCAGCACGGGCCGCTCACCACCTCCCATCCCAAGCAGGTGACCCCCTCACCCAGACCAAGCAAGTTCTCCAGCAGAACACAGCAGAGAAGCGGCGTCCCTGAGCACTGTGCGTGCAGAGCATTCCACGTGCTCACACCCCAGGAATGGCCCCTGTCTTGGGCACAGGGCCACTCGGGGCTTTGCTCGTGAACCATGTCCCCAGGGATCAAGGGCTCCAGAAAACTCTTCCCTTTGTTGTTCAGACCTTAAGAAGTATGGGCATGTGATTCCCAAGGCCAGTGCTGGTTCCACCTCAGCCCAGCCCACTGACGGCTGACCAAGGGCTGCGCCCCAGTCTCAGGTCCTTGCAGCTACCCAATGGCCACTACTCCAGTCTGGGCGGGGCACTGCCCCGGGGCCCTGTCTCCTGCCCATCGTTGCCCGCAGAGGACACCAGGCTTGGTCTGAGTTTAAAGGAGTGGCTTTGGGCAGAGAAGCAGTGGGCACAGCCACACAAAGGGCTCGGCACAGCGGGGCAGGGGCTGCAGGAGGGGGGAGCACAGTTGGTGGAAGATGGGACAGTGAGGGTGCTCCTGGGGCTGCTGGGGGGCCCAAGGCTCCTGCACTCAGGTGCCAGCATGATCCTGCCAGTGGGGCCTGGTCAGCAAAAGCTGCTGTGGCCAGGGTTCCAGGGCTGGGCGAGGAGGTCAGGGTGGGGGCCTGGGTCCGTTCCTCTGATGTCCACAAGCCCCTACACAGGGTGCCCAGCATGCTCTAGTGGGCATGGCTGCCTACTGCTTCTTGAAGGGTGTGCCAGACCAGGCCCTGGTCTCTCCCATAGAGGAGAGTGAGAGCCGAGGAGAGCTCTCATTCATCAGCCTGGCAGAGCCCGGGCCCCGGGGCTCCAATCCCAGCCAGTCTGCTGAGCTGACCTCTCCCCGTCTCATCCTGCCAAACAGGGACACCTACTGCTGGCCCACCTGCCTGAGAGCAGGCTGGCACCAGCCCGGCTTGCGTCCGCGCTGACCAAGGGGGCCAGGCCCGAAGTGAGGGGCTCCACAGGCTCTGGGACCATGGCCTCCGTCTCTCTGCAGGATCCCCATTTACTGGCCTCAGGGCCCCTTGGCCAGGGGCGGATTGTGCAGGTGGGGAGGGGATCCTGCAGGCCCAGCCGGGGCGGGTGGGGCGGGAACTGGAGTTGTGCCCCGGCCCGCCCACCCAGCTGCAGCTGGGGTGGATGAGGGCCAGACCCAGGCGTTGCCAGGGAAACCGAGCACCACGCCAGCCCTGCCCAACCGAAATTCCTCTATTTTTAGCCTCCCAGCGACTTTCAGATAAAGTCCATGTAGACGGGCAAACTGTTCCGCGAGGCAGCGCCCGCTGTAAACCACAAGCTTTCAAAGGGCGGCAGGCTTGGCAAATGTCCCCCAGCGGCTGGGACACCCTGGGAAGAGGCTCCTGTGCCCAGAGGCCACAGCAGGCACAGAGCCCGGCATGGCCGTGGTGGGGGGGCATCCTGGTGACTGAGCCACGGGGCTGGCACCCCGGAGCAGAAGGAGCACCGGCTTCCACAGCTCAGAGAAGGAACCTGAGGTCCTATGTGCCACCTGGGTACCCAGTAGGGCTGACACACCACCTCCCACCTCCTGGAGAAGCTCCTGGAGCCCACGGCCCCAACTCCCTGCCATATGTGCTCCTGTGCCACCCTCAGTACCTCTGATGTCCCCAAGTGCCCGTGGCTGGGGCTGAGGGAGTCACAGGCAGCTATGTGTGGCGCTGCCCACCTACATGTGCTGAGTGGTTCTCAGGGACTCTGGGAAGAGGCCTGTGGCCACCCAGTGCCACCTGCCAGTAAAGATACCACTTGTCAGGGGTCTACAAACCAGCCTGGCCTGGCCTCAGGCTGTCCTTCCCATGGGGGCCGGTGCCCAGCCACATGGGAGAGTGGGTGTGAGCCCCACCTCTGGAAGTCCTGGCGTCACGTGGGCCACACTGAGCCCAGGGGGAGGGAGGCCGGGTGGGGGACCCACCACACCCTGAGGTACCGTCCTGGCCCGCAGCTCAGGGAAGAACCGGGAGAGAAGCACCGCTGGAGTGGCCTCGAGAATGGACCACAGGCCTCAGGAACAGCGCGACACTGCCTCCGCACCCGCACGGCTCCCCCTCGTGCCTACCTTGTCTTCCACCCGGTTCAGGCGGGCACCGATGCTGTTGTTACCTCGGTCCTTGCTCTTCTCTGCGGGAAGAGCAGGAAATCAGGGATGTGCATGCTGGCGGTGGGCGAGGGCAGGGCGGGCGACCCCGGCTGGGCTCAGGGAGAGCGGTGATGAGGGGTGGGGTCGTTGGGGTTGGAGGGCGCCCTGGGAAGTGGAGGGGTGGGGCGGCCAGGGTGCCCTAGACTTCCAGTCCTGCGACCTGAGAGCCCATCAGAGCAGGACAGGCACGGGCCTGCCCCGGAAGCTGTGGCACGGCGCCCGTCCACTGCACAGGGCACCTCCACCCATTGTGCTCTGTTTACCATGCTTCACAACTGAAGGTATGCGGCAGCCCTGCGTCGAGCCAGCCTGTGGGTGATGTTTCCCGACAGCATTTGCTCACTTTGCGCCTCTGTGTCATGTTTTGGTTATTCTTGCAATATTGCACACTTTCTCATTATTATTGTATTTATTAGGGTGATCTGTGACTGGTGATTGTGACTCTCTGAAAGCTCAGGTGGTGACTAGTGTGTTTTAGCAAGACGGTGTGTCTAAGTTGAAGTATATATGTTGTTTTTCAGACAATGCTACTGCACGCTTAATAGACTACATATAGCGTAAACATAACTTTCACATGCACTGGGAAACCGAAGCGTTCGTGTGACTGCCTCGCTGCTTGGGCGTTGCGGTCTGGAACCTCCGAGGTCTGCCTGCACATTCTGCCCCCGGGAGGCCCTGGCCTCTCTTAGGCCTGGGGAATGCCTGCTGCCCCAGCTGCCCCTGCCATCCCGGCCCCTGTGTGAGCCATGGCTCCCACCTGAACTTGGGCTGGGGCAACCCCAATGACCTGGCCTGGCCCTGGTGTGACCCATAGCCCGGTCCAGAGGACGCAAGGAGTCAGAGCTGGAGAACGGCAGCGCCCTTGCCATGCCAGTGGCCCCTTGAGTTCTAGGCTGGCCATTTGCCTCTGCCCCCCACCACGTGCCGTCCTGCCAGAATGTCCATCATGGATGTGCACCTAATTCCTCTATGGCCTGGAAAAGCTGCCATTTAAGGGGATCCACGGGGTTGGGGGGGGTCTTGCACTAACTGAAAATTCCTTTATAAAGTGCATTCGAAACCACCTTTGTTTAGGGTGGGGTCTACCTGCCACCACCACCCACCCCCTCTGCCGGCTGTTGCTGTGTCCTGTGCTTCCAAGGCCCTGATGGTCCAGTCTGACGGCGGGGAGAGGCTAGCGTGGGTGGAGGGGCAGGGGAAGGGTCCCGCACGGGCCACTGTGCCCAGGTGCCTTGATGCAGAAACCCACCTGAAGCGGAGATGAAGAGGGAGGGCTTCCCGATGGACTGGTCCAGCCTGGGGGGAGACGGATGTGAGCTCACACTCAGCCTGGGTGCCACCCACACACTTGGCCTGTCAGTGGGCAAAGGGGCAGCGGTGCCCAGCAATACAAGATACCCAGTCCCTCTGGGGCCTCATCGTAGGGCTTCCGCACTTGCTGCAGGCCAGGAAGACATGAGCCACCCACCACTGCCATTCACAGACCTGCCAGGTGCCTCCCAGGCCCCAGAGACCCGTGTTCCCGAGGGGGCTGGGCAGGGGCTCCAAGGTGAGGGGCAGCGGCCAGGCAGAGTCCGAAGAGTGCCCATTCATGAACGGCCCAGGCCAGGAGCCCTCACCGGCTGGGAGAGGCAGCCCGGGAGTGGGCCCTTCCGGGGTGAGGCCAGGTCGCCGAGCTGGGCGGGCTTCACACTCCTGCAGCAGGTCAGTGAAGTAGGGCGGCCTGGACCCCTGGCTGTGGGCAGCCCCGGCAGTCTCCCAGCTGGACCTTGCGACACACGGGGCTAGGTTGTTCCCAGGCTGGCCCGCCGTGGAGGTGCAGCTGGCCCCAGTGTGAGCAAGCCCCCGGACTCTGCTGCTTCCGTGGGAACAAGCCCTCCCGGCTTCAAGCCGGAAGCTGAACATGTAAGCTCCCCAGCTCCAGGTCCAGGATGGGGGAGACCCCGGGGATGGGAAGCACCTTGTGCCTGGCAGGGTCTCCCCTGGTGGGTGTCTCCTGAGGCAGGGCTGGGCCTCGGTCAGAAGTGGTAGTCAGGGAGGGTGGGTGCAGTCTGAGCAGAGGTGGGCAGTGTGGCCCCGGTTGCTGCCCCGGAGTGGGGAGAGAGCCATACTTCCGCCCCCGCCCCCACTCTGTACCCCCTGTCCCCTGCCCGCCTGTGCCTACCTTCTCTGCAGCTCTTTGATGCGCACCATGAGGTTGAGGTGGCCCTGGGAGTACTGTTCGATGACGTCCCGCACGTCGTAGGGCTTCCGTGCTTGCTGCAGGCCAGGAAGACATGAGTCACCCCTCTCTGCGCTGCTGGCACCATGCCAAAGCACATGGTGAAGGTGCCTGCCTCAAGGGGTCTTGGGGATGTAAGGAGCTTGCCCGCATGGGGACACGGGGCAGGTCTGGCCCAGCACATACTCAGTGGCTGGCTCATTGTCAGTGGCCTGACTACCCTGGGCTTGGCCCCTGGGGTTGGGTGACTGGGGGCTGGCGCCTGGCCTCTCTGGGCTTCGGCTTCTTGCCCACTCACTCACAGAGGCCTGCCCACTGTCCCTTCCCAGCCCCGGTCTTGGAAGAGCTGGCCCAGGTGAGGGACCAGGAGGGACAGGTCGGCTGCTAGGTGCTGGCTGGGGGTGGGGGCACGGCTCTGCACAGCCACCCCCAGCTGGGCTCCAAGCTGACCCCCACACACTTGCTGGCAGGCATACCCCCTATTCTGAGGGTGGGGACGTGGACTGCCATGCTCGCTTCCCAAGCAGTCCTCATTGCCAGGCAGTGGTAGCCCCAGGTGACAGTCTCAGCCTGCAGTACCTGCTCTTGGGGACAGGCTGCCTCCTGGGGTTCTGAGGCTTATGGGGCAGAGGGACTCTCTCACAGCAGGCCTGGGCCATGCAGGGCACAGTGGGTGACCCCAGGGCACCCAGGCTCACCGCCAGCTCTGAGTCCATAAATGCATCCTGGGCTCAGATGAAATCACCAGAAACCACAACAAAGAGAATAAGGCTTCCTATGCTGATGTCAGCAACACCTCAAGCCACATTCATGGCCTTGTTCCCAGGAGCCTCAGGCTGGGGTTCCCGCTCAGGTACAGGCTGGCCAAGTCAGGGTTTGATGGTCCAGGAGGCCCATCCCCCTGACAGGCAAGCCAGGGAACTTCTGCCCTTCTACCCAAGGGGTCCTGGGGAGACCAGGTTGGGTGGGGCCAGGGTCATCCTCAGTAGCACCAAAGAGCCCACATTAGTGGTGCGCTGGGGATCATTGCCTCTTGCTGGAGCATGAAGGGCCTGTGACTTGCCAGACAGCTGGGAACAGTGGGGTCAGCCTGGGTCACAGATAAGTGGGGACAAGGTTCCGATGCCCACCAAGGGTCAGTGCTGTTCCCCCCTGCAGGGTCCTGGGAACACATCCTCCCTGCCACCTGAAGCCTACCTCTCCTTAGGGTGCACCAGACTGGGGCTACCCCGGTCTGAGAGTGTGCTCACCTTTGCCTGCCCTCCAGGACAGGGTCCTGCTTCAGATTTTTAGGTACCCTCTGACACGCCATTGGCTCTGCCATCAATGCTGGTAGCTTGGCAGAGTTCTTGCAACCTCCCCCAAACACTATCCTGGCCCCAGGAATTCCAAGGCAGGGCAGAGGCCTCCTTCCTACCAGGGGCAAGGCCCCCAGAATCCAAGGGGTTCCTGCCCTTCACAGGATCCACCAGGTAGGGCCCTTGTGGGAAACATGCAGCCCAGCTCCGGGGTCTAAAGACAGGACCCTGAGATTGGGGGGCTGGGATGGAGCCCACCTTTCCCACACCACAGCAGTGCTCCTGACAGAAGGACCTACCACCCCCGGAGCCCACCTGGACACCAGGGCCACCTGGATCACCTCATGGCTCACATGCCAGGACCCACCCTGGGCTAACAGGGTCAGGCATGGGATGGGACTCTAGGCAGACCCTTTGGCTCTCCACAAACTCCACTTAGTGACAGTCACAAAAATAGCACTGAGGACAGCATGTAGGTGTAGGCTAGCAATGTCCCCAGGCTTTAGTTTCTGTTTCTATAAAATGGGGCGCTGAGCCCTGCCCCTCCCTCCTGGAAGATGGGCCGCTGGTCCTGCTCCTTTCCTGTAACATGGGGCGCTGAGCCCTGCCTCGCTCTGGCTGCCAGGGAGGGAGGGGGATAAAGTGAGATGACGGGTGAGGGAGGCCAGAGAGTCCTGAGCCAGCCGGGGCCAGTGTGGGAACTCTTCCTCAGCGCACACTGATGGTGGCCCTGGGTCACGGCAGCCAGTCCCCGTGGGCCAGAGGGCCGAGACATGCGGCACCTCCAGGCACGCCGGTGGGGCCTGGGCAGGCTGGGGGACTGGCTGGGTCCACAGTGCAAGGTGGTGCAGGCCTGGCCTGGGGTGCGCTGTGTCCCTGTGCTGGCCTCCCCCCACAGCCTGGGAGGTCACAGGCCACTGAATGCAGGTGAATGGGGCATCTGAGTGTTAGAAGCCCTTGTGTGCCCCAATGTAGGCAAACGTGCCTGTGAAAGGACATGAGTGTGAGTGACCAGTGTGGGTGGGAGTGAGAGCATGGAGTGTGAGTGTGCCAGAGTCTGCACAGGAGTGCGCGAGCAGGGCTCTCGGGCGGGGCCAGTGAGCTGGGCCTCCTCCGCCTCACCTCGTCCAGGGCGCAGACCACAGAGGGTCAGCAGTGCCCGGCGACACCCAGGACTCATGGCCCGCTGGGGTCCCAGGCCCCCTGAGACTTATCTTGGAGCTGAGAAGCTACCCCCAGGGTCTGGTCAGTGCCCCTGGAGGCCTCTGTCAAATGGTTGCCTGGAGCCTGGTGGGAGAGATCATCTCAGCTTTCTCTCCAGAGCTAATTTCCTCTGGCGGCAGCAAGCGGGAGCCTGAGATGAGCCGAGATAATGCCGGGTTGTCCAGACTGACCGACGGTGGACATGGGAGTTCAAGGCAAACTTGAAGGGCTAAGAGGCTCTGGCTCCTCTGCCAGACACAGGGGCGGCTGGCTGGGCACTTATCGGCCAGCGAGGCAGGAAGGGGGGCCACCCACCGCGTCTGCAGCCCCTGAGGCCAGATCGGGGGTGAGGACGCCGGCAGACGGCCCGGCTGCTGTGAGGGAGGGGAGCACCCCTGATAGCTGGTACCCGGTGGGGGCCGCCCCCACGGCCCCACACAGCTCCTCACTGCCAGGGGCTCCCTCCACTGCCTGACCTCGGTGGGTCCCTCCTCCCCAGAGGCCTCCATGGTGCCCCCTGGCAGTGAGGGCCAGCTGGTGAAGCTGGAGGCAGCTCCGGTCCCTGGCCTGGCTCAAGAGCCTCCATACCTCACAAAGGCAGACTGGGAGGCTCCCCAGAGAACCTCCATTCGAGGGGCCCTTTATGCAAGGCCCCCTAGTGGTCCTGTGCACAGGAGAGAGGCAGAGAGCAAGGGAAGGGGCAATACCTGGCTATTAGCAGAGGCCTCCCAGGCCACCTGCAGCCTCGCCTGTGTCCTATGGCCAAAAGGGACCCTGGCCCAGAAGGGAGGGCAGGGCCCTCGCCGATGCCAGCAGGCAGTTTTTTGGCCTGTACTTCAGAGACAGGTTGGCAGTGCCCAAACCTGCTGCAGCCACAGTGGGCGCCTGTCTGCTGAGGACAATCTCTGTCCTGAGCTGGAAGCCGCTCATGTCACCCCCAAGCTGGGCTTGCCAGGAGCCTGAGGGCTCTTTCTGCTCTGCTTGGTGCCCCAGGCCCCGGGAGCAGCCCCAGGAAGCTTGGGTTCAGCCGGCACAGTCCCCCACATCCCTGCCACACCTCGGGCAGGGAGCGAAGGGCTCTGCCCCAAAGGCACTTACTCTAGAGCCTCAGTGGCCCAGCTTCTCAGGCTGGGGACCATCTCCATCCTGGGAGGTTCCCCACTGACCCCTCCGCACCCCCCCCCAAGTCTTGTGTCTTGGGTCCTGCCCTCCAGTGAGGGTGAAATATCCTGGCCCTGCCCACAGCCTCCCCTGTCACTGGGGGACAGCCCTGTCCAGACCTGACCCCTAAGGAGGGGTTCCTGCAATCCCCTCCATGGGGAGGGGGCCCTTGTTGCCAGGAGGCTGGGCGCACCTCTCCCACCAACCGTCAGCTCCTGCCTCCAAGCTGCCCCTCTGCCAGGCACCAGGTCCTCTGGGAAGGAGTGGCCACAGAATTCAGATGCCCTCAACCTGGGGGCACCAGGTCTCGCCCAGAACACTGCCAGGCAGACCTCTTGGAGCTGACTGAGATTGTCATCTACAAGGACCCTTCTGTTGTGACAATGAGAAGTCCCAGGCCCTGGCGGGAGCCTCAGCATGACTTGGCTTGGTTTGGTCATGAAAGGCCACCCCCCAAGGATCGGGGCGGGGCAGACAGGCAGCAGAATGCCACCGAGGGACTGTGTGTGCAGACCACTCCTGGGCCAGCAGCTGGCTGCTGAGCCGAGGGGCCACACGCTGCTCTTGTTGGCGGGAGGCGCAAGGTGGCCGGGGAAGGGCCTCGGGGAAGGGGCTGGGCTCAGAACGATGGCAGTCATGCTCATGGCGGATGCTGCCCGAGGGCTGCCGTGAGTGGGCCCATGTGTGGACGGTCCCGTGCCACCCCCTTGGGCTCTTGTTGCCATTACTGATGGGGGAAGAACGGGTCCAGGGCTGCCTGGGTGGAGGTCTGCACCTAGAACCCTGCTCTGAGCCTGCGTTCATGGCCTGGGTGAGCAGGGGCTCTGCTGAGGGGCGGTCAGGGGGCCTATGTCAATCCTGCAACTTGGCCGGGAAGGCTCAGCCCAGAGCGGGGAGCAGGGGCTGGGGTGGGATGTAGGGGTGCTGGTTTTCTTCCCGGCACTGCTGTGACAATTCTGGGGGTTTGCTGCTTGGGCAAGCACGCCCAAGGGGATCTAGACATTGCTGCCAGCCCCAGGGTGACCCTGCAGCCCTGGTGCTCACTTTTTAGAGGCACTGGTGGCCACGCCTTCTGCAAAGAGAAGGGCCACACCCCCTCACCCCAAGGGTGCCTGTTTCCTAATCTACATTTCCTTGGAGTGCTGGGCTGAGCCGGGCCTCCCTCCTTCGACCCAGGACTGTCCCCACAGCAGAAGGTTGGAGCCAAGCCTGCCACCAACTGGCTTCCCCTGGGGGCTCCACGGGGCTGCAGGGGACCCAGCCCGGACAGAGCGCTGACGGGGGATGGAAGCCCCTGGGCTCCAGCTCCGCCTGCCTCGGAGACCCTTGCTCTCCGGGGAAAGGCAGGCTGTCCCCTAGGGCGCAGCAGAACTGCTTCCCCTCCATTTTCCTGACTCACACAGAGCAGGAATGGGGGGCAAGGGCACTGCCCAGCATGGGGCAGGGCTCTGGGGCCTGTAGGACCCCTCCTCTTGCCCGAGGGAGGCAGGGCAGGCTCTGCACTCTCTGAATCCCTCCCATGTCACTCCCCAGATGGGCTGGGCAATGGGGGGGGGGCACAAGTGAGCCCCAAGGGCCAGGCCGACCAAGGACATGTCCTTCCAGGACCTGCCACCTTGGGGAAGGATAAGGAAGTTGTGCCAGGGTATCTGATGGGTGAAGGGTCATCTTGGATGTGGGGGTAGGGAGGCCTTGTACCCTCTACCATGGATGGGAGAGAGGCTTCCGGGGCTGACCAAGGGCCGGGGGGCTCGGCGCAGGACCCACCTGGAATCTCTTCTTGGCCACAAAGTACTGCATGCGCCGAATGACCTTGATGGTGGCCCGATGGTGCTCCCGCAGCCTGCAGTGGAAAACGGAGAGGAGCGTGAGAGTGGGCGCTGGGGTGCCAGAGGCTGGGTGCCTTCCCAAGTGCCCCCTGCTGCTTTGGGCTGGGTCCTTCCCTAAACGAAAGTGTTCAGCTCCGTGGGGTGATCTTTAAATCCTGGAAGTCCGTGTATTGGCCGGGCAGGGAGAGGCCGGGGGCAGGGCGGCTTCACTGAGACCCTGGGCTCGCTTGTCCCTGGGAAGTGGGGTGGGAGGCGGAGTCCTGGGTTCGCAGTGGCTGTGTCCTATGAGCCACAGAAGCCACAGAAGCCACAGAAGCTTCTGCTGCCTTCGGGCCCTCAGGCCCCTCACCAGTATCATGCAGAGAGCGTGCAAACAAGGTGTAGGATGGGTGGTTTTCTGGGGGCAGTGCGGGTAGGGGCGCAGGAGGAGGGGGGCTGGCTGAGATGCACATGGGGCCTTGCTCCCTCCTTCTCTTCCTCTCCCACAGGGCACGGGGGCCACACTCAGACCCCAACCACATGGCTGGGCTAGAAGGCCTCAGGGGTGCCAAGCTCCTGGGCCAGCAGACGGAGTGGGCAGGGGGAGGGCTAGGAACCCAGGGGCCAGGAGACCGGGGGACCAGAGCGACATCTCCTCTTCCACGGTGCTGCCAGCACTACAGAAAGAAGCTGGATGTGGGCAGCTCTGTGGGACTCAGCACCCGTGGGGACCCCAGCCCAGCCTGGCCCGTGGCTCTGCCTGCCCGGGCACAGGTAGCCTGGGGGCCGTGGTGAGGGAAGCCCTGGGAGGTGCTGCAGGAGGCTCTCCCTGGGGCAGGACAGCCGCTCTGACCTGCAGGTGGTGTTGGCTGGGGGCAGAGTCCTGGCCAGGGGCCGGTCTGCATGATGTCTGCAGAGCAGGAATCTCCCCACACACAGACAGCCTGACACCCCAGCCTTCCCTAGTCCTCTGCCAGGCCCACGGGTGCCCCTCAAGAGTGGGCTGGCCTGGGGCAGCAGGACGGAGTGGACATGGCTGCTGTGTGCACTCCAGCACCAACGTGTCAGACGTTAAGGGCATACTTCTATGCAGGAGAGGACAGCAACTTACACGCATCAGGACTCACACACGCTGAATACATCCTCTCACACGCTCACACACCTACATGCACAGGCTTGGGGTGGAGCCTAAGCAGGCTCTGGGAGGCCCCTGCGCTGCTGAGATTCCTCCTCTGGGGTGGGGTCACTGGCCTCACGAAGTCCCTGACACCCCCTCACACCCCTGACACACCTGATGTGATATGGGTTACATTAGTTGATTTTTGATATTGAACGAGCCTGGTTTATCTGGAATAAATCTCCCTTGGCTGTGGTGTTTCATTCTTTACACCTTGTATATTGTTTTCTAAACACTACAGAAATCCCGGGAGCCCACCACTCAAAGTAAAAGCAAGACCCTGACTCAACCTATCCCCACCCTAGGAACCACCCAGCTCGGTCCATGTTCCTCACACCCCTCGCTTTACTGTTTGCGTGATTTGATCAAGTCTATATGCATTCCCCCCTCCCCCTGCAAAAGGCACTTATTTGTTTTAGTGATCTAAACCTTATAACAAAGCACCGTGCATTGTCCTTGCTGTGACGTTGCCAAGATGCACCCGCATGGTACAATCCACACTCTGTCCCTTTGCTTTGACTGGTGGAAAATACTCCTTTGTGTAGACATGCCGAGTTTATCGGCTCTCCTCCTGTGATGGGCACGTGGCTGGTGGCCAGGCGCGGGTCTGGTGAAGAGCCCCAAGGCACATACCCCTGGCGAGCTTCTCAGGCTAGACGGAGGCTAGAATGTTCTTTGGGTGCATACCCAGGCATGCCACCACTGGGTCACTGGGCATGTGAATTTGATGGTGTGGGATGTTGCACTGCCCTCCCTATGGTGGCCCCACTGTGTGCTCTCACCTGCAGTGCAGGAGAGGCCCTGGCCCCACAGCCCCCAAGGTCAGACTTCATTACTCATGACAATGAGTCGCGTGTAAGTGGTGTCTTCATACCGACTGGCCTCACGGGCTCCTCTGCTGTGAAAGGCCGAGCACGTCTCTGGGCCGTGCTCTCGGTATTGCGCTCTTAGTGATTAGTTAGGTAGAAGTCATCTACATAACTTTGTCTATTCTTTGCCAATTTGTATGTTAGGTCTGCCCACTCCTGTGGCAGGCAAAGGGTCCCCCAAAGATGGTCTAAACATCTGTTACCTTATACAGCAAAAGGGACTTTATAGACGTGATTCGGTTATGTACCCTGAGATGGGGAGATGGCCCTGGATCACCCAGGTGGGCCTAATTAGACACTGGCTTCCTGGAAAGTGGATGGCCTGCCCCAGCTGTGGTCGGAGGGAGCTGTGACTGTGGGAGAAAGGCCGGAGGTTGGCAGGGTGCTGGCTCTGACGACAGAGGAAGGTGCCCCTGAGCCGAGGGACGCGGGCGTCCCCGGGGGGCTGGGAAAGGCCAGGCAATGGGTTCTGTCCTGGGGCCTCCGGGAGGAGCCAGCCCTGCCGACACCTTTCAGACTGGTCAGCAGTGTCAGACTTGTGACCTACAGAAAGGTAGTAAGTGTGCGCTCTTTGAAGCCATTGGGTTTGAGGGGATTTGTTAGAGCAGCTGTAAAAAAGCGACATGAATCCCAGTTTGTAAACCATCTTTTCATTTTCTTTAAGGTGTCCTTCGATGAACAGGAGCTCTTATTTTATATAAAAAGATTTACTAATCTTTTTCTTTCATACTCAATGCTTTTGTGTCTTGTGTAAGAAACATTTTCCTACACTAAGATTTGAAAGGCACTAACTAACCTACATTTGCTAAGAGTTAGAAGGTTTGCGTTTGACATTTAGTCTACCTGCAGGCAACCTTTGTATACGGTGTGAGATGGAGGCCTAGCTTCACCTTTTTCTTTAGGGATGCTTATTTATTCCAGGCATCCACAGTTCCATCTTGGTCACACCCCAAAGCCTCAGACCTATGTGGGTCTTTCCTGGACTCTCTGTTTGATTCCACTGGGCTAATTGTCAACCTCTGCACCTACATTTCAGTACCTTAATTACTATTGCCTCAGACCAAGTCCTGATACCTGGAAGGAAAGGTCTTTCCTTGATCTTCTTAAGAAGGTCATAGTTATTTGTGGCTCTTTACTTTTGCCCAGAAATTTTAGAATCATCATATTAAGTTTCATGAAAAAAAACCTGTTGGGGTTTTTATTGGAATTACAGTATATCTACAGATCAAGTTGGAAGAAATGAATTGACATCTTTATAATATTAAGTCTTTTATCTATGAGTGGTATGGTATATCTATGAGTATGGTATATCTTTCTCCTTGTGTAAATCTTTAAAAATCTCTAAGTAAAGCAAAATTTTAGTTCTTTGAAAAAACTAACAACACAGACAAAGGTCTGGTAAGACAGATTGAGAGAAGATACAAATAAAAATATTATAAAAGAAAATAAGACAATACTACAAATAAGGACTTAAAACATAATAAAATAATACTCTCAACTATATGCCAAAAACTTTGGAAAACCTAGACATAAATGGGCATATTCTTAGAAAAAAATATAACTCACCAGAACTGAGTCAAATAAAATGAAATGTTGGAATAACCCTACACCTATTCAAGGTATTGAGGCAGTGGTTAAATATCTTCCCAGAAGAAAACACCAGGCACACATGGCTTTATCCCAAATTCTACCAAACTGTCCAGGAACAGATCACCTCTATTTTATGGAAACATCTTAAACTGAATGAAAAGTGAAAACATAATACATCCAAATATGAGGGAGGCAGCTAAAGCAGTGCTCAGAGGGAAATTTATAGCATTCAATGATTATATTAACAGAAAAGAAAGGTCTCAAATCAATGACCTCAGTTTCTACCTTAAGTAACTAGAAAAAGAAGAGAAAATTAAACCCAAAATAAGCAGAAGGCAGGAAATACAGTAGTCCCCCCCCTTGTTTGTGGTTTTACCTTCCATAGTTTCAGTTACCTACAGTCAGCCATGGTCTGAAAATGTTAAATGGGCAATTCCAGAAATAAACAATTTATAAGTTTTAAATCATGTGGCATTCTGAGTAGCATGATGAAATATCACGCTGTCCCGCTCCGTCCTGCCTGGGACGTGAGTCACCCTTTGTCCAGAGGACCTACCATGTATGTGCTACCCACCCGTGAGTCACTTAGCAGCTGTCCGGGTCATCAGATGGGCTGTCTCAGTACCACAGTGCTGGTGTTCCAGCAGCCCTTGTTTTACTTAATAATGGTGCAAGAGTGAATATGCTGGCAGTTTGGAGACGCCGAAGAGAAGCTGTAAAGCGCTTCCTTCAAGTGAAAAGGGGTAAGTTCGCCACTTAACAAGGAAAGAAGAAAAAATTGTATGTTGAAGCTGCTATGATCTATAGTAAGAATGGACTGAGTGTGAAACTGTGAAGGAAAAACAAATTTGTTGTAGTTTGTTATCAATCTCTCACTGTGCCTAATTTACACATTAAACTTTATCATATGGGTAGGGGAAAAACATAGTGTATATAGAGTCCAGTACTATCCAAGGTTTCATGCATCCACTGGGGGTCTTGGGATGTACCCCCCGCAGACAACAGGTGCTACAGTAATAACAGTGTGAGCAGAAATGATGAAACAGGGGGCAGAGGGTTGCCCTCGTGGGAGACGAGGCTGCCGTTCCCAGTGATGCCTGAGGCCCAGCTGAAGCAGAGGACCAGTGCCCGTACCGACTTGGTCCCTGAAGGTGCACACCCAGGACGGCTTACTGGGGCTGCGGGAACTTCTCCATTAACCAGCCTTCTGGTCCCCCAGAGCCTCTGCTCGCCTGGCCCCCAGAAGTGGCTGACTTTGGGAACTCTCCTTTAGGTCTCACCAAAGGACAGGGTTTAGGGAGGCCCTGCAGAGGCCCTCCCCTCAGAGGCCTAAGGGCCTGGGAGGTGGAGACCCCAGTTCAAGCCCTAAGGCCTGCCCCATTTGTCAGTAAATGCCTGG